TGCTCATTAGGAGTGCTATGGGAGCTCACTTGTATGTGAGAAGTTGCTTTTCTCTTGCTACTTTCAATATTCAATTTGACTTCTCACAGTTGTTTTATTATAAGGTATTGGGTGTGACTCAGTTTAGATTCATTCTATTTGGAGTTCTTTGAGCTTCTTAAACTTGGGTATCCTTTTTGTCCTCATATTAGGGTGGTTTGTGGCCATTATCTCTTTTCTTTAACTGAAGAATCATTAATATACATTCTTGTATTGGTTTCAAATATACAACACAGTGGTTCAACAGTTACCAATATTATTAAACCCTTACCCTCACTAGTGCATTTACTATCTGTCGACATTGGACGATGTTAAGAATCATTGGCTAAATTCTCCATGCTGTACTATTATCCCTGTGACCAACTTATATTATGATAGAGAATTTGATACCACTTTATTGTTCTCACCTGCCTCCCCCACCTACCCAACACCACCTCCATGGTAACCACTGGTCTCCACTCAATGTCTATGCTGTTTTGGTCATTCTGTTGTGCTTTGTTTTATTTTCCACAAATAAGTAAAATCATATGGTATTTATCTTCCTCTGCCTGGCTTAATTCCCTGAGCATAATACCCTCTATGTCCATCCATGTTGTTACTTATGGCAGGACTTTTTATTTATGGCTGAATAATATTCCATTGTGTTTATGTACCACATCTTATTCTATCTATTCTTCTGTTGAAGGATGCTTAGGCTTCTTCCATATTTTGGCTACTGCAAATAGTGCTGTGATAAACATAGGGGTGCATATATCTTTTCAAATCAGGGATTTTGTTTTCTTTGGGTAAATTCCTAAAATTGGAATTACTGGGTTGCATGGCATTTTTATTTTTAGTGTTTTGAGGGAATTCCTTATTGCCTTCAACAGCAGAGTTTATTTTCACTCGTGAAAGCTATTTACCCTCAGGAGCATTTCCACCTACAGCAGTCCCTTTCTCATGTCTTGTAATGCCACTTTAGTGGTTATAAATTCCTTGAGCCTCATTTATCTGGGAAATATTCAATCCATCCTTTGAATTTGAGTGAAAATCTTGCTGGGTGGAGTCTTGTTGGTTGAAGGTCCTTCTGTTCCAAAACATTAATATTTCATGCCACTACCTTCTGGCCTGTGAAGTTTCTGCTTAGAAGTCTGCTGATAGCCTGACGGGGTTTCCCCTATAAGTAATCTTTTTCCTCTTTCTGCTTTCAATACTCTCTCCTTATCCTTGATCTTTGCCATTTTAATTATTATATGTCTTGCTGTTGTCTTCCTAGGGTTCCTTTTGTTAGGGCCTCTCCATACTTCCATGATCTGAGCATCTATTTCCTTCCCCAGATTGGGAAAGTTTTCAACAATTATTTCCTCAAAGAGGCTTTCTATCCCTTTGTGTCTCTCTTCTCCTTCTGGTATCCATATTATGTAAATATTTTTTCATTTGTATTGGTCATACAGCTCTCTTATCTTTCTGTCATTCCTAGCAATTCTTTTTCCTGTTCTCTAATTTCCATCTCATTGACTGTCTCCTCTATTTGCAGCAATCTATTATACATTCCCTCCATTGCATATTTCATTCAGTTACTGTATTCTTCAGCTCTGGGTGGCTCTTTTTCAGCTCTTCTATCTTTTTATTGAAGTCATTCCTGAATCTTCAGTACTTTTCTGCAGATCAGTGGGCATATTTATGACTTTTACTTTGAAATCTTTATCAAGAAGATTGGCGATCTCTGTTTCATTTAGCCCTGTTTCTGGTGTCTTATCATGTAGTTTTGTTTGGAACATATTCCTGTACCTCTTTGTTTTGTCAGGGTTTCTTTGTTTCTTCCTTTGTATCAGATGAATCTCTATGCCTCCTGGTCTAGAGTAATGGCTTTATGAAGAAGGCATCCTGTGGTGCCCAGAAGCACAAGACCCTTTACTCTCCAGTGCCTGATTCTCCTTTGCTGTGGAGACCCAGTTGCTGTTGGTGGGCTGTGGGCAGGGCTGCCTTTCTGTCTTCGGGCAATGGTTTATCTCAGTCTGCTGCAGAGCACAGTTTGCCTCAGCTGGCCGTTTGTGAGCCGAGCTGAGCTTCTGTTGAATTGTTGTGGACTGGGCTGCCCTCTGCCACTCTGCAGCCACTGCAGGGCTGAAGGACTAAAAGCATGGGCGGGTTGGTCCTGTGGCTCTGGGGCAGGCCAGCAGGGCCAGGTGTTTTGTGGTGGCAGGGGCCCAAGTGCAGTGAGGTTCCGAGGCAGCGAGCACGCAGGTGCCCCTAGTGGCAGCAAGGTTCACAGCACTGGGCTTTGCTGCCCCTGGAAAGGAACACTCAAATCTCGCTCCTGTAGGTGCCTCTCCAATTGGGCTGAGACAGTGTGAAGAAAGCTGGGAAAGCCTTCCTCCACCTGCCAGGCAGCCAGGTTTGGCTCTGCTGGGCCAGGTGGTCTAGTGTGCTAGTGGAGCACAGGGAAGTACCTTGGGACTGAGCTGCCATAAAGGGCATGGGCGCTTTTGTGGCTTCCAAGAATGCCCAAAGTGTTGGGCCAAGGGAGCGGTGGGAGGTATTGTCTGACTGCTGCCCATTCTCCTGTGGAGAGGGCTTGGTCCAACCCTCTCCCCTCTGGCACCCTTCCCACTGCTGGTAAATATTTCAAACTGCTGCTTATGGTTCGGATCTTAGGCCTGGTGGAGCATGCCTGTCCTCTACAAGTGGCTGGAGTCTCAGCCTCCGGGAGTGTTCCATCTGTCCCTGGCGACCAGCCTCGGTAATGAGCAGAACCCAATGCAATGTGGACTCATGCTCCCAGAGCAGATCTCCAGGGTCAGGTGTGCAGAGTTCCTGGCTGCCTATCTCCTCCCCACTCTGTTTTTCTTCCTCCCACAGTGGTCTGGCATGGAGAAGGGCTTGATTGGGGCTCTGCCACTTTGCCCTTTTCTGTGCGGTCTTCTGTTCTTCAGATAGTGGTCTGTTCTGCAGTCTTCAGGTCATTTTCAGGGTTAGTTGTATTTGCTGTAGTTTGCTTCCTTGGTTGTGTGTGCGTAGGTGGTTTCTGCCTTGCCTTTCCTACTCCAGCATCCTTCCCACCCATTATTAATTATTTATTCTATTAAACTCTATTTTTCCCTTTCTCCTTCTGGGACTCTTATAATACATGGATTGGTCAACTTACACTGTTTTATAGATCCCTTAGACTTTTTCCATTTTTTCTTCATTCTTTTAAAAAATTCCTTACTTGATAATTTCAATTATCAGAACTCCTGATCCAAGTCTATTGTTGAAAGTCTCTAGTGAATTCAATTGTTATTGTATTCTTTTGTTTCAAAATCTTTTTGATATTCATTTTGTTCATGGGTTGTGCTGATTTCATTTAGTTGTCTGTGCTCCCTTATTAATCCCTGTGCTTAAGACAGTTAATTTGAATTCTTTGCCATGTAATTCATAGATTTCCATTTCCTTGGGATTGGCTTCTGTATATTTTTTGATTGAGCCATGCTTCTTTCTTCCTGTGCTTTGTGATTCTTTTGCTAAGCTTTATGCATTTGATAAAACCTCTACCAATAAATAAAGCCACCTCTAGTTATTTTAGTACAGCCTTTACCTATCAGCCTAGCTAGAGATTCTAGGGGCTTCTGAAACCCTTTTTGAAGGTTGGGATTTCTCTGGGCCTGCATGTGTTAATTTCCCAATTACAAAGGTTTGTAGGTTTGTTTTTCATGTACTTATAATCTCTTGGACATTACTGGGAGCCACAGTGGTTTGTCTGTGACACTGCTGGTTCTCTGGGGCTTCAGTAGCAAGATGCCCCTTTCCTTTGTTCTCAGTGGTCCCCAGGCACCCAAAGTACGGTGACTCTCCCCATCAGAAAGCTGAGTCAGGGAGACATACCAGTTCCTCAGGCAGCCATCTAAAAAGCTAGAATGCTGGATCCACATTTTTTTTTGAAGCCTCAAGTTGGGCGCTTTCTGATTTTGGAGCTTTGTGGCCTCTGTGGCACTGCAGCAAGCCACTCCTGCTCTCCCTTGCTTTTAGTCGAATTCAGGTATTACATTGTGGCCATTCTTTCAGTGCTCTGGCAGCAGAGACAGAAACCAGCCTCCTCCAGCATTTCACCAAAAAGCAAGAATGTTGGATGCATGTTCCACTCTATTCTGCTCCCTCCTTAAAAGCCATGAGAAGGTGCTTTTCTCCCAATCATGCTGAGCTTTTGGCTTGACAGGGGGACAATTGTGGGTAAAGTGAAATAGCTTTTCTTACCTGTTTCAATGCAGCTATTCTCAACTTTTTCCACACATGGGGTACTACAACTTTTTAACTGTTTCTGGAATCCTCATAAAGGTATTTTGGTCCATGCATTATTGAAAAATTGGGTGTCTGTGAGAAACAACATTCTATTCTGCCATTTGGCTGACATCAGCTCCCCTCTCTGCTAATACTTTAACCAAAAGGGAAACAGAAACAGGCTGGAGAACTCAGGATGACTTATTTATATATCTCACAAACAGTTTCCTGAGTGCTATGGAATAGGGTATACTCCTTATTATTAGTCATTTTACATATGAGAAAACCAAGGCTCACAAGAAATGCAAAGTTATGTAAGATCACGTGTATAAAATGACTGGTATGTAATGGGCACTGAAAACTGAGAACTTATTTTTTACTTAAATTATTTTGAGATGGGGAAATTATTCTGGATTATTGTGGTGGGCCCCATACAATCAGAAGATCTTTTGTAAGTGAAAAAGAGATTTCAAGCTGGTATGTTGCTGGCTTTGAAGATGGAGGAAAGGGGCCATGGGCCAAAGAATGCGGCAACTTCTAAAAGCTAGAGACAGGGTAGGAAACAGATTCCCCCCTACAGCCTCCAGAGGAAACACAGCCCTGCCAGCACTTTGATTTTTAGCCAGTGAGACCTAATTTTGGACTTGACTTCAAGAATTATGATAATAAATGTAAGTTGTTTTAAGCTACTAAACTAATACAGAAGTCTGACATTTCAGACTAAATTACTTAGGAAATATTTTATTGTACAAAATTTACATTTGTTGTACATAATGAAAAGCATGGGCAAAAACCTTTTGTTAATCCATTTTTCTTTGAGCTTTTCTAAGAAAAGTAAAGATTTATCTCCTAATACATTGTTAGATAATACATATTTTTATATAGTTGTTTAACAGTTGTGTTGGTAGTATCTTGATATATAAGTTTTATAAAACTGAAAACAGATCAAAAAAGTGCAGGAGGAAGACCACTGCCAAAGAGTAATCTCCAAGAACTTGGAATTTTCCATGGTGAGGTAGACATTGTGGGGTCATCACCCTGTAACTGAACAAGAAATTATTTTAATCCTTTAACTGTACTACCAAATCTCCTTTGAACATGTAAGGATTACAAAATTCTCCCTTCCCTAGTTTTTTGTGTTCCTTTGGTTTTGACACTTTTACCTGGGTTTTTTATTTTAAGGAAAAACAAAGCAAATTTCTGTTTTTATGCTAACTGAAGATGAATTTCCTTAAGTTCCAAATCATAAAGATATGCTATAAAGGCTATGGATGGAGGCTATTAACTAAAATCAAATTCAAAAAGAATTGGGGTTTAAAAAAAAATCAGTGCTTTGTGTTTTCAATCAATTTTTTCTTGGTAAAAGCACAAATTGAAGACAGTTACCTACCATATAAAGCAGCTTTTATATAATAGCTTTTATACCTCTGTTTTGCCTAAAGGCTAACTGATTTCCCTGGATGTAATGCTCTTATTTTGTAACAGAAAAAAATATTAAAATTATAATGTATATTCAATAGTATTACTCACATAAAAATACCTTTGGGTTTTCTAAAATCAGAAATCCTGAATTCCAGAGAGGGCTGGTTTATTCTAGTAAGAATCTGTCTGGTACAATTAATGCAACAAACACACACACAAAAATATAATGAAGTACTGTTAAGATTTTCCTTTTTTTGAAAATCAGCCTGAATAAAAGCAACTGTAGACAACATGGTGATTAACTGCCCTCTTTTCTTTTTAGAAGTTTAGCTAAACTAAATTTTATATAAAGATGTCTAAATTAACATAAACTACTAAATAGACTAACTCTGGTCTCCTTACATAGTATATAAACTACAAGTTTATAAGTTTATAAATACAAAACCAGAGAAATCAGAGGCTTACACTGTAGTACAACTTACATGTGGTTTGATTATCTGAAGCCATTCATTAAGATATTCAACAAGACCTAATGCATCTGGGATGTTGTCTCCTTCTGAAACAAATTTCAGCAGAACTGCCATTGGGATTTCTTTAGAACAGCTACAATAAATAAAAAGAATAATTAAGTATTCTTCTACTGACACAACTGCAGTGGCTGTTTATAGCTAAGATAATCTGCCATATTTTAGGGAAGAAGATGCTACATCGTAAGTTATATTCTTCTATTTATGGGGATAAAACTAGGAACCATGTAACACCCACCCTGACACACTCAAGTTTATGCCTCACACATCAAGGCTGCATGAAAAACCATCCCCCGACTCTTTTCGGCTTTATACCACATAAAGTATGTTTGCATCTACTCCCAAAACCTGCTATAGAAGACTGATTTTTCAGAAGCACCAGAGCAAAGAGACTGAAAGAAAAATAACATCCTTGTTATTAATCTAAGGCAGTGAAGGAAAACTGTGGAATAAAGGAAAAAAACTTTCTATCACTTAACACTGAGTCCATTTACTGCATTATTATTATTATTATTTTTAATAAGCATCCCTTTATTTGCTGACGCCATTACAAAAAACAGATTACATTAGCAACAAAAAAGTGTTTTCTTGAAGTCAGAGGCAGTTACTCCCCAAAATGTTAAGTAAAACAGTGTACAATATCAGTATTAAAATGTTAAATTTTACATTGTCTTTACCACTTTTGATCTTCTGAACAATTTTATTGAGCAAAATAAGATACAAGATTACATGTTTATTTTATCTTCAGGAATGTAAAGGTCTAATTATTCAAACAGTTTTTATTATAAAACTAAACTCTGAAGGTGTCTAGAGTTGGCTTTTTTTTCTCTCTTTAGATCAGTAGTCTGACAAGGATTAGAAAAGACAAAACTCTGTTCAGTGTTTCTGACAAAGTATAAAGGGTGAAAACATAAATAAGGCTTTAACTTGGCAAAATATAATACAATGCCTTGTTATCCTTGAATGAACAGTATCCCAATTACTTCACTCTAATACCTGGAGTGTTCTTTCTCTTTTGTGAGTTGTTGGTTTACTGCCTGAGGCAACTGCTGTAACTGTGTTACAGTCTGATTTAGACTTACAGACATTGTTTCCTTCTCAGAAGATTCCATTTCTGAGGTAACATCACTATTCTCAGTAACAGTAGTGTCTTCCAGCAGCTTTTACAATTTTTGACTGGATAAGATCCAGTGACTTTTGAGCCTTATGCAAGTCACCAGCTACCTTTTGTCTTTCACTCTGTTTAATTCTAAGTTTTGTGAGTGTTTCATTCAACTGTGTCTTTAACTCTGGCTTCTGTAACACAGGTAGATTGTACAATTTCTGCCTTCTCTAGTTCCATTTCCAAGTGCTCTCCTTATCTTCTCAAATTTTCAATATCTTCACTTTCTCTTTTTAATTGCTTTAGCTCTTGTTCTGACGATGTGAATGACAACTAGTCTTTTGTGATTCATCGACCTTAACTATCCATTTATTTTCTTTTTGTTCCACACTTCTTTATAGCTTCTGTAAAATTCTTTGTTTCTGCAAGGACAGACTTGTATTTTTCACACTCAAGCTGTAACAATGTGTGTATTTCATCAGCTTCTTTTAACTTGTGCTCCAGAATCTTAACTTCCTCTGAATCTGACGTTCCAGCCACACATTCTTTTGCCTTCTTTTCAAATCCATGCAACCATTCACTATAACTCAAATTAGAAGGGACAGACATCATTGGAAATAATTTTTTGAGAACTTCTTTAGCTTCCAATTCAACAGCTTCCACATGTTGTCCTTCGTGGGTACGACAGGTCTCCTGCGACTCTTCAGCATGAAGCAGTAATCACCAAAGCTCAATCAATCAGGTAATCACAAGAGACCAGCATGCCCAAAATTAAACCTTGGAAGTCTTGTTCACCTTGTCCTGCAGCATTTTTTCAGTTGATGCCAATGCTTCCATTGCTTCCCAGTTTTTCTCCCGAAGTCATTGTTTTTCTTCCTCTGGTGTTCAACAGCATCCTTCAAAGACTCTTTAACTCATTCTGGAGACCAATTATTTCTTTCTCTTTCTGAAATTACTTTTAGTAGTTCTTCATGAGGGGGGAAAAGAAGATGCCTGTTGATATTCTGTTGCTTAAGCTGCTTGATTTGGAATTTAAACAATTTGTTTCCATCTTTTACTTCCTGTAATAGCTTTGTTTTGCTCTGTTTTAGAATAGTTTCTACTCTCTTCATTTCCTTTTCCTTTTCTTTCAACACAGCCTTAAGTTCTTCAAATTGTGATGCAGAACATGCCTCTTTCAAGTTATGTTGTGCTAGAATGAGCTTTTAAAGATGCACTTTCTTCTTGAAGATGCTGTAAACATTTCCTTCTACTGGCTAGGTCTCTCTCTTTCTCTTCTAAGACAGTCTTCATGGTATTCACCTGTTCCTCCTTTCCTTTTAATAAGCTCTGAAGCTCCTGAACTTGAGAAGTGATAGATAACTTTTAATCCCCACTATCTTCTAATAGTCTCTTCAGATCTTGGCTTAGATGTCAGTCCCTCAGGAGGAGACTTTCCTGAACCCTCCTCAATCTGTTGAGCCTTTCCAAGCTGGAAATTTCCTATTTCTTCTTTTAGAGCCTCTATTTCCTGTTTCAAATCCTGAAGTTTTCTCCTTATTAGCAACCTTGAGAAGTTCAGCTTCCAGAAGTTCTTCCACGGACTTGATCTTTCCATCTTTTTCATGGATCACTTTCTTAAATTCTTCAACTAGAGATGCAAAAGAAACTTGATCATTTTGTTTAGTCTTTAATTCCTGAACCTCTTTCCTCAGACATGAATTTTCTCTTATTATTGAATTCAGTTCCTCCTCTTTAGTGGCCACCTGAATAAGTCCAGTTTCAAGTAATTCTTCCAGTCTTCAACTTTTTTCTTGAATGCATTTTTCCATTTGTTCCACAAAATCTTTGCTAGGCTGTTCAGAAAGAAGAGTCTGTAGCTTCTGAACTTCTAATTGTAATGCTTTGTTTTGGTCATTTAGAATCTTAAATTCTTCCATTTTGCTTGAAATTTCACACTGTAGCTGCTCTTCAAGCAATCTTATTTTATTATCCTTAATATGAATACTTTTCTGCATCTTCTCCAGTTCATGGGCAGCAGCAGCCTGTTCATTTGCCAGGGCCTATAATTTTTGTACCTCAGCTTTTAGTAAGAAATTCATATTCTGCATGCCCTCAAGTTCCTCCTCTTACTTGTTAAATGATCATGTTCATTTGCTAAAGAATCTTCAGTCTGTTTTATCTGCTTATCCTTTTCTGCAATCACTGTATGTAATTCTTCTGCTAGAACTGAAGCGGAAGTCTGGGCTGCTATCTGGGAATGAAATTGTTGAATTTGAGCTTTCAAAGCTTCATTCTGCTCCAAAATATCCTGAACCTGCATTTGTAGAGACTCTTCTTTGGTCACCCTTTTTGCTCCAATTCCATTAACTGCATTAGTCTTTGTTCCAACTGTTGTTTTGATACCAGGGTATCTATAAGCTTACTATGTAGACTCTGCACTTCATTTTCTTTGGCCACAAATTTACTCTGTAAATCTTGCTGGGCTGCCTCATGCTCTGCTGTTCTCTTTCTGATATAGCTCTGGACTTCTTCCCACCTTCTCTCAGCTTCTTGGAGTTGAACTTTCAACTGAGTAACTGCTTGCTGAGCATTCTTCTTTTGGACTTCCTCTTGTTGCTTTCGTTTTCTCAGTCAGCTCATTCACCAACCTAGCATAATCCTGGCATAGTTTATTTAGTTCAGCAGACTGCTTGCTTTCTAGTTGTTCTGTAGTGTTGCTGACAGCATCTCTCAGTATGCCACTTTCATGCTTCAAGTGAGCTATCTCTGCCTCCATCTGCTCACGAACTTGCTGGAACTTCATCTGCATCTGTTGAGTCTCTTGATAACTGACATGCATTTTGTTTTGAAATACATTATGTTCCTTTTCTAATGTTCCAATCCGATTCTTTCATCCTTGCTATAACCACACTGCTTCTTTCTTTCTCTGCCATCATTTCCTGGGTTATGTGCTTACACCGATCCTTCATAGCAGCATCTTCCTTCACAGCAGCAAGCAACTTGTCTTTTTCTTGAAGTTGATGTACAAGTGCAGTCAATTCTCCTTTATTTGACCTCTTTAAAGCATCCTGGATCACACTGGACTTCTCCTTTAGCAGCTCTACAACACAAAAGGCCTCATCTTCAGAAAACATCACAGTCTGCAAGGACAGAAGAAAATCTTTAAATTTTCCTTCAGCATTTTCTTTGTCAGTTTCAGTCTTCAGTTTTTTAACCCAGTTTTGTGTATTCCTTCTACTTGGTCAGGTTTAATCACATCAAGAACCTCTCTTGTTACCCACCACAGGATTTGAGTCAGCATTATCCATCAAAGGAATATAAGTAGCTGCATGAATAAGAGGTTCATCTACCAAAACATTTTCTGTCTTTTGCTTCTTTGATGAAACTTTCTTCTTTCCTGATTCACTTTCTTGTTTAGTCTCTTGATGGAGGAGTGCTTTTTTGAAGGTGCCATAGGAGTTTCCACCTTTTTATCCTGATCATCGCTTCCATTTTTAGACTTCTTCTGCCCTGGTTTGTTCTTTGATGCAGCTACTTCAGAGGGAGGGGTGGGCTGTTTGGTAAGTGGGACAGGTTCTACTTTTTTGCATGGAATCTTTGATGTATCACTTTCTTTGGTGACTGTTCTTCTAACACAGGCTTGTGTTTCTTTTCCTTCTTCTTTCTTTCTCTAATGCTACTTGAAGTTTCAACCACATTCAGTGGAACAGGTACAACTTGCTCATCTTCCACAGCCACGACATCAGATAATTTAAAGTCCCAGGGAACATTCCTGGAATCAGATTCATGGAGGTTCCCATTCTGAATTTCTTTCTTTTTATTCTCTTTCTTTTCTGCCTTCTTTTTATCTGTTTTGGTAGGAATAAGCTTTTGTTCTTGTTTCTGTTTTGGAAGAACTTCATCATGTAATGTTTCTTTCACGAAAAGCCAGAAAGAAGAGGAAAACTACTGTAATAACTACTGAAGGAATAAGGACAATAAAATCTGTTGAT